TCCCAAAATATGTTGGAGTCGTCTTCATAGTGTACGCTGTTTATGGTGATGCTGCTGTTCTTGAAATGTATTAATACAATACCCTCGACTGCCAGGTTCTTTATATTACAAGTTGAATTGATGTTTGTTTTCGGAACTTGTACCAGTAGTACGTAGTCAGGTTCAGGCTGCGTACGTAGTTTCGATGACATCAACTGTGGTGGATGGACAGTGTGCGATTTGATTTTTTGATTAGTCTGCCCATGCATTCAGACTCTGTTGTTAACTCCTCTTGGCGTGGCTTGTTGCAGAAATAAATTTCTTCTATTTTTGGGGAAACGGTGTCATGGTGCTGTATGCTGTGCTCATTATAACTTATAAATGGTTTTGTTGAAATTATTTTTGTTTTATTTATAGAAAATAGAAATTATATTTTTGTTCTGAAAGTTTAGGTATTTGGATATTGAATACTATCTTTGATTGGTTATAGTAGGCTTGTAAATTAAGTAGTTCACATATTTGCTCATATGCATTTATAGTTACCTCTTGTTTGTCTAAAGAATTTCTTATTTTTTCGAGTTCTTTAGAGCTGAACAAGAGCTTAGGAAGAATATTAAGTCTACTAAGTATGATTGCTTCTGCAATATCCGATATATGACTTGCTAAGTACTGAATTTCAATGAAGTTGTCTTATTCTGCCTTTATTTTATTAGCAGTCTTGCCTATTATTTTCTGTTCTCTATTTTCAAATTTGTTTAGTAGGTTTTTTATTGAGTTAATGTTGGATTAATATTCGTCAAGGTTTACTATGTGGATTAGATTGTAGTAACTTTCTAACGTACAGGCAGGTCCTAGTTGTAAGGGTAGTATACTGTAATAGTCCTTAAAGTTATGTATTTCTAACAATTGTGTGGACACAATTGTTAATCTAGAAAAGAATAGAGGATATATGTATGCGTGTATTATATATTTTTATTAATCATTTCTTTTTCTTCTTATTTTTTTTATTTTTTTTTTAATATATTTTTTTTTATAGTATCTTAATATCTGAAAAAAAATTCTCTTTTCTCTCTATATTTTTTTTGTATTATTATTATTAAGCGTCTTATTGGTTGATTATCCATATGCGTTGGTCAACTACATATTCTTATGCATCGTATGTGGTCATATACAATGACAATAATTTCGCACTGCAATATGTTATTATTATTAAATTATTGTGTTTATTATATTTTTTTTTTGTATTATTATACATTTTATTGGTTGATTGTCCATATGCGTTGGTCTTCAACCACATATTCTTGTACATCGTTTATGATTAAGTGGTCATATATAATGACATTAATCTCGTACTATAATATGTTAATAAATTATTATATGTATTTATATATATATATATATGTTAATTTTTATAATATACTTTATTTATTGAGTAATTTCTTTGTGGTGTTTCTTTACCTGTCTTCTTAGTTTGCATTTATGAATTTTTTTATTTCGTATAGATAATACAGTTTTATCATTATTTTTTGATATAATATGTTTTGAGAACCTAGGTGTAATTTTGTTTCTTCTAGCTTCTTTCTTAAATAAAATGTCATGTTCTTCAAATTCTTTTGGAATTTCTTTCTATCTTTCTATAATTCTTTTAGATGTCCTTGTTTTCATATCCTCCTATACTTTTGGGTATAATTCGTTAAGAAATTCATTAAGTTTCTGTAGGTATTCATGTTCATTTGAGAGATTCGCTTGTTTATTAAATGTGTAGGGTCTGCCGAAGAAAAGTTCGTAAGAGGTATGTTTGGTTGAAGAGTGTATGGCATTGTTATACGTAATGAATGTTTCAAATAATATCTCCTTATGTTCGGTTAACAATTTTTTCTCTTTTCGGGTTGTGAATATTAGTCTATAGATTTCAGTAAAGGTTGAATGAAGACGTTCTACGGGTGCATTGCTACTAGTCTGCTGAAAGGATGTAAAATATAGATCTACGTTGAATTGTTTGCAAAAATCCTTGAATATATTCGAGTCGAATTCTGCGCCTTGGTCACATATTATTTTCTTTGGTATGCCGTATGTGCTAATATAATTTTTTAAATACTTTAGAATGGTTACACTAGTCCTACAAAGGAGTGTGTATCCGCAAACGAATTTAGAAAACTTGTCTATTAATGTAAGCATTTGATTATGATTAATGCTATAAAGGTCAATATGAATGATTTCTAAAGGTTTTGGTGGTATTTCTGGTTTTTCGTATTGAGGCTTGTGAGGGTTTCTATCGTATTTCAGGGTTTTGCATTTGTCACAGTTATTGATGGTCTCTGTAATTCTGGTCTTCATATAAGGAAAATATAGCTCTCTTTTTAAATGTAGCATAGTTTCGTGGATTCCTCTATGATTGGAGTTATTATGGTATTCTTTTCTTGTTCATCTTCCGTTGTAATATCTTTCAGAACTTGTGTACACCGAGTGAGTTTAAAAGTTTTGTTGCTAGAAAAATATTTAGAATATACTTCTTGAATGATACGCAATGTGTCGTCATCCGAGAGTATTGCAGAAACTTTGTTTGGGGGTATGAAAATCTTTAAAAGGTTTAGTATGACTTCTTCGTTGTATTCGGGCCTACGAATGGTTCTACGTTGTTTGTTCTTAAAAATTGTTTCGGTTTTCATTGGGGGACCCTCATTTGTGGTTTCAATAATGGATTGTAAATTAAATTCATTAATTGGTTTTTCTGAAATTGGGATACAATTATTTAGATTTTCTTGTATGGTGCTACACTCTTCTCTAATGTTTGTATATATTTTTTGTGGAACGTTCATTGAATTATTTATTTTGACACGGCTTAAAGCGTCGGCATTTGTGTTGGACTTCCCTTATTTGTACACTATTTCGTAATCGCATTCTTCCATTTTGAGTCGCCATCGTACTAATTTAGAATTTGGTTCCTTAAGGTTCATCAGTCATGTTAGCGGTTTATGATCAGTCACGATTTTAAATTTCCTGCCAAAGATATATGGGCAAAAATACTTTATTGGCCAAACGATAGCTAATAGCTCTTTCTCGATAATTGAGTAGTTGCATTTGCTCTGATTTAGAGTTCGACTTGCAAAACATATTGGCTTGTTGCTCCCTATACGTCCTTGGGATAAGACGGCTCCTAATGCAAAGTTACTAGCATCTGTTGTAACTACGAAGGGTTGTATGTAGTCTGGATATTGTAATAAATGGTCGTTACATACGATGGTTTTACAAATCTCGAAAGCCTCTACATAATTTTTATTTACTTTGATTTCTGCACCTTTCTTTAGGCAATTTGTAAGTGACTTGGTTAGCTTAGCAAGATCTCTGATAAATTTCCTATAATATTCACCTATAATATAAACCGAGGAAGGAACTCGGTTCGAGTTCAGGGTAGGGGAAAGTTTTGGATGGCATGAATCTTTGAAGAATTTCATTTGATGCCATCAGGTGTGATTATATGACCTAAAAAAGCTATTTCATTCTTTAGGAATTCCCATTTATCTAGTTGTATTTTAAATTTAAATACTTTCTAAATGTTCCTGGATAGATGTTGAATATATTATAATGTCGTCAAGGTAAACTAAACAGATTTTTCCCACTAAATTTTGTAAACCATTGTCTATTACTTTTTGGAACGTGGGAGGATCATTTTTTAACCCGAAGGGCATTCTCGTATACTCGTAGTGTCCACCTTCAACCGTAAAGGCTGTTTTTTGAACATGATTTTTATCTATTTCGATTTGATGGAAACCACTTGCAAGATCTAGGGTGGTAAAATATAGACATCTCCCTAATTTGTCAAGAATTTTGCTAATGTTTGGTAGTGGATTTCTATCTGCTATTGTTTTTTGTTGATTTTCCTATAGTCTATGACCAATCTCCACTTCTGTTCACCTTTTGTGTCTAGTTTCTTAGGAACTACACAAACTGGTGAACTCCCAGGCGGGTAACTATGCTGAATTATGCCTTGCTTTAGCATGTCGGTGATTTGTCTTTTAACTTCCACTTTGTGTACGTATGGGTATCTTTATGATTTCGTGAATACCGAAATCATAGACGACAGTCTGTGTTATTAATTTCATGTTTGATTTTGTTTGTAAATGTAAGCTCATCTCCCTCTTTATAAAATACGTCGCTGTAATTATTGCATACCTTTAAAAGTTGTTTCCTTTCTTCAGTATTGAGATGGTCAGTTCTTATTAAGTAGCCGATATTTCTTGTTTCAGAATTTTCTATAAATTTTTCCCGTAAATTATAGCATTCTACAAAGTTCGAAGAATCATAGGTATTTACTTTTAAGGGTTGTTCGATAAAAAGTGATTGATCCTTGTTAGAATAATTTATTAATTCCACCGTATTATACTAACTGTTTGCATTATAAAGCCCACCTGCAATATGAAGGTTTGGCTTCGGCTCAATTGCGTTACAATATACATTGCCGGCTTCCTGGCTTACTGGAAGTCTAGTCAATATTTTTGAATACGCTGGTATAGCTATTTGCCCTAACGATAGGTTCGGCTTAAGGTTAATGCTATTTACAGCATTTTTAGTTGATAAAACTTGGTTTTTGAGGTCAATTTTAGCATCTAGTAGGGTTACTATGTCTATTCCTAATAGTCCATCAAAGTAATTATGGAATTTAAATAATAAGAACTTGATTTGACCAGCTTGGTTGAATTCAGAG